CTGGGTGCTGGCAGGCTTGCACCTGGCACGGGCACCGTAGCCAGACCGTGCCCCTTTAAGGGCTCCGGGGCCGGGAAGGGGGCAGACAAGTTTCCCTGGTGGTGCCCAGAGTGGCCACCGGGGAAAGCTGGGGAAGGCTAGCCTCCCACTAGTTCGAATTAAGTGGCCACACAGCCCTTAATTCGAACTGCTTAATTCGAACTAGGCGTTAGTCCTCGTAGAATGAGGTTTACCTAGTTCGAATTAAGCGCTCCGCTAGTTTGATTTAAGTTCGAACTAGCGGTTTGTATGTGTAGCGTCTATCAAAGTTAATTCGAACTAACGTCTGTTAGTTCGAATTAACTTTGTAGTGTAGACATACCCACAGTTAGTATTATTAAACCCCATCCCTCACTAAAACGGACAGTCATTTTGCTAGTTGATTATTCTTCTCCGCCCATTTTATTATAGAAAGTTTATTTCTGTGAAATGATTTTCATTCTGCTGCTGTTTCCCATCCTCTGCTAATGATTTAATTTCACTCCCTCATCCCCAAGACCTGGCTTTTAGGCTGTTTTAACAGTGCACATTTTCTAGTCTACTTGTTTTCTCAGTGACCAAGTACTGCTGCCAACCCCTGATGAGAACTATTAGGCAAAATTTGGTAGATTATAAATTCCTTATTTTATCAAGTTTAAAACAAATCTCAGTCTATCTAGGTTACACAGACTTCTGGATAGATATATGAATTGTCTGCATGTGTCTGGCTGTCAATTTAGCAGAGGAAACAGTACCTCATTTAAACCACAGTTCTCCTTTGGAGAGTGACCTTATGCAGATGAAACATCCTTGCTCACCGATTTGCTCAGTGTTTTGTTCAGAATGCTATCTGCTAACTTCAGCTGAAATGTTTTTCCCCGCATGCCAATGGAGGAGGGTCTGTGTTGCTAAGTGAGCATGAGCGGGATTCTCTCTCTCCTTCAGCATTAACAGTATTGTTCCCCAAATTCCATTAGTTACACATGAGCAAACCTACGGAAGGTTGCCCATGTATCATGGAGGGAATAATCTGAAAACCATGTGGAAGCACATGTGTATGTCAGGGCAGAATTAAACCTAAAAAATTGCTTTCAGATCCCAGAGTGACTCTGCATAGTTACTAATTAGAAAAAAACCCCACATCTTTTAACTCAGACCACAAATGAGTGTATGATAGACATCAGAGTGTAACATTTTTTGTGCAATACTTACTTTTTATCCTCCTGAGGGTTAGAATCTGCCTCAAGTTTCTTGCTCCATCTCTCCCAGGATCTTTCAGTTATAAGTTTCTCCCCTGGAATCTCAGGAATATTCATGGCCTTGGCAAAAAGGTTTGCCCCATGGTCAGTCAGCAGCATATGCTCTGTCTGATAGAGAAAAAAGAGAAACTTTTAACACTAGCTAGAGTTCAGATTTGTACAGTCTTATAGAAATATGTAATTATTTAAAAAATGTAAGCAAAGAAAATGTTTTTTTTAACTTCTTGTAAAAATCAATAAAAAGACAGTTGTGGCCCCAAATGAGATTCCACTGACTTAAGTAGGAAAAGGTTGAGATTCCCATGTGCTTTTTCAGTGGAACAGGATTCAGTAATGAAAAAAAACCCCAAAACAACACAGAACAACTAGCATTAACAGAATATAATGGTCTTCAAGAATTTAATACTATTAGATGAAAAAAACAGAATTCACTTATAACAATCTTTTGCTGAAACTAGATAGGATACATAGCTGCTATTGCAATCCTTTTTATAACTGGTATTGTAACCTTTGCCAACCAATCATTGACATTTTGTTTATCTACATCAGTGTTTCTTAAAGTGTGTCCCGCGGCACAGTTCCGTGTATGCCGCAGAGAGAACAGAATTCAAAATGGCCACCCTTAAAGGCGTAAGCCTCTTTTTTTTTCCCCCCCCTCAACAACTTTTCCCTGGGGCAGTGTTTCCCAAATGGTGCTCCATGAAACCCCGAGGTTCCACGAAGTGGAACTCAGGGTTCCCCCCAAAAAACCCACTCTCCCACCCCCTGCAGAGCCCATAGGCAGCTCCCACTGTAGCTGCACCCCCTTCTTCCCAGCTCGCAGGATGGTCTCTGTCCCACGGGGCCTCCGCTGCTGTGCAGCTGCCTCCTCCTCCATGTGTGCATGCGGCAGCCTCCACTCTCAGGGGGGGGGGGGAGCGGGGGAGCCACTCCCGGACCTCGGCGTTTTAAAACTGCCGCCTGTGTCGAACCCGGCTCAGGCTCTGCCGCCTCCCCTCACCTGGGGCACATTCGGGCTCTGCTGTCCCCCCACCTGGGGTGCGCTTGGGCTCTGCTGCTCTCCCCCCCTCGGGCTCTGCTGCCCCCTCCTCGGGGCATGCTCAGATTCTGCTGCCCTCCCCTCCCCTCCCCTCGGGGCATGCTTGGGCTCTGCTGCCCCCCCATGTGCTGCTGCTCTCTCCCCTGCTAGGGAAGTGGCAGAGTTTAATCTGGCAGGGACAGTTGGGGTTTCTACCCCCATTCCCCCGCAGCCCTGCCAGCGAGAAGCCTGGTCTAGTGCTGCACCTGCACTGGGTTCCCCGGGTGGGCGGAACTGAGGTCTCCACCCTCACACACCCAGGAGGAACAAGAGCATGCTCCCTGGAGGCTTTCCCTGTTGCAGCAGGGTGCCAAGCCAGGTAAATGTCTCCCCTCATGCCCAGACCCCACAAAAGAAGATATACCTGTACGGCTTGGCATTGGTCAGAGAGAAGAATAAAGACAGCATATTCAGATAATGAAGAAATTCTCATGTACGTTGCTGAACAAAACTTACTTTGTGCAATACTGCCCCCCTCTGCCCTTATAACTAACCTACTAGCAACCTGTGATCCAAAAATTTCTGAGAATTAGAGTGGGAAGAGAGACACAAATGCATTTCAAAGAAAACGTTAAGTCTGTCTCCAATAACTGCTGTCTTCCACCTCCCTCCAACATAAAGCAGATGGGCAGTGAAAACCTCATCACGGTGCTACGGATGTTAAGGACTAATCAACTAGTCCATTTCCCTCCCCTTGCTGCCTCTATGAGATAGAGAGAGCAAAGGGGGAGAGGGAAGGGATACTTCAAAGTGGCAGCAATGCACAGGTGAGCTGGGAATCAGTTGTGCGGCGCTGCCACTTTCAAACCCCAAAGCAGCGTTTCAAAGGGGCAGCCGCCGTAGCAGCTGATCGTGGCTCAGCTGTGCAGCGCTGCCCCTTTAAAATGCCGAAGCGCCATAGACCCAGGGTCAGCTGGGGAATCCCAGCTGATCCCACGTACCCCACAGCATTTCAGCAGAGCCTAGGGTCAGCTGGGGAGATGCTGCACGGAACCCAGGATCAGCTGGGGAGTCCCCAGCTGATCCCGGGCTTCAAGGCGTTGCCCCTTTGAAACGCCATCTCAGCATTTCAAAGGGGCAGCCGCCGTAGCAGCTGATCGTGGCTCAGCTGTGCAGCGCTGCCCCTTTAAAATGCCGAAGCGCCATAGACCCAGGGTCAGCTGGGGAGATGCTGCACGGAACCCAGGATCAGCTGGGGACTCCTCAGCTGATCTCGGGCTTGGTGCGACATTTCCCCAGAACCCAGGGGTCAGCTGAGGGGTCCCCCACTGACCATGGGCTCCATAGCTTTGAAATGCACAAAAGCCCCTGTTGGGGAGGGGGGGGGGGGAGCGGGGGAGCCACTCCCGGACCTCGGCGTTTTAAAACTGCCGCCTGTGTCGAACCCGGCTCAGGCTCTGCCGCCTCCCCTCACCTGGGGCACATTCGGGCTCTGCTGTCCCCCCACCTGGGGTGCGCTTGGGCTCTGCTGCTCTCCCCCCCTCGGGCTCTGCTGCCCCCTCCTCGGGGCATGCTCAGATTCTGCTGCCCTCCCCTCCCCTCCCCTCGGGGCATGCTTGGGCTCTGCTGCCCCCCCATGTGCTGCTGCTCTCTCCCCTGCTAGGGAAGTGGCAGAGTTTAATCTGGCAGGGACAGTTGGGGTTTCTACCCCCATTCCCCCCGCAGCCCTGCCAGCGAGAAGCCTGGTCTAGTGCTGCACCTGCACTGGGTTCCCCGGGTGGGCGGAACTGAGGTCTCCACCCTCACACACCCAGGAGGAACAAGAGCATGCTCCCTGGAGGCTTTCCCTGTTGCAGCAGGGTGCCAAGCCAGGTAAATGTCTCCCCTCATGCCCAGACCCCACAAAAGAAGATATACCTGTACGGCTTGGCATTGGTCAGAGAGAAGAATAAAGACAGCATATTCAGATAATGAAGAAATTCTCATGTACGTTGCTGAACAAAACTTACTTTGTGCAATACTGCCCCCCTCTGCCCTTATAACTAACCTACTAGCAACCTGTGATCCAAAAATTTCTGAGAATTAGAGTGGGAAGAGGGACACAAATGCATTTCAAAGAAAACGTTAAGTCTGTCTCCAATAACTGCTGTCTTCCACCTCCCTCCAACATAAAGCAGATGGGCAGTGAAAACCTCATCACGGTGCTACGGATGTTAAGGACTAATCAACTAGTCCATTTCCCTCCCCTTGCTGCCTCTATGAGATAGAGAGAGCAAAGGGGGAGAGGGAGCAGCTGATCGTGGCTCAGCTGTGCAGCGCTGCCCCTTTAAAATGCCGAAGCGCCATAGACCCAGGGTCAGCTGGGGAATCCCAGCTGATCCCAGGTACCCCACAGCATTTCAGCAGAGCCTAGGGTCAGCTGGGGAGATGCTGCACGGAACCCAGGATCAGCTGGGGAGTCCCCAGCTGATCCCGGGCTTCAAGGCGTTGCCCCTTTGAAACGCCATCTCAGCATTTCAAAGGGGCAGAGCCGCACAGCTGAGCCCAGGATCAGCTGTGCAGCGGCCATCCCTTTGAAATGCCACCTCTGCATTTCAAAGGGGCAGCTGTGGAACCCGGGATCAGCTGGGGACTCCTCAGCTGATCTCGGGCTTGGTGCGACATTTCCCCAGAACCCAGGGGTCAGCTGAGGGGTCCCCCACTGACCATGGGCTCCATAGCTTTGAAATGCACAAAAGCCCCTGTTGGGGGCTCTTGTACATTTCAAAGGAGGAATGCAGAAGTGCCTATCGACTAGTCGATGGAAATCCCATCGACTATTTGACTGGTCAATTAATTGTAATTTAACATCCCTACCTGTACTTATTTAAGAAGCAAACATTATCTTTTAAATCAGTTTTATCGGAAACCATTAACATCTAAACAACCATCTTTTCATTTTATATGCCTTATTAAATTATTTAATTTTTAAAAGTTTCTTTAGCAAAAGAAGCTCTTGGGTGTTCCCAGCATGCACTGCCCTGGCAATGCCTTCACACCTTAGACTAGGTTCAGAACAAGGAATCTTTGTCAACACAGAGAAGTGTTCCTTTAAGCTAGCTCTTACTAGCTAGGATGGACTGGTCTTCAGTGTTCCTTCTATGTAGCACTTTTCTAAAAGATATGATTAACAATCTTATTGTGTAGCCTACAGCAGAAAAACCAACAGTAATATTGATAAATAAACCTTCCCTCCCTCTAGAGAACTATGCTTCTCCCTCCCTCTTTTTTCTGTGCCTTCCTGAACATGCTTGTCAAATTAACAACATTGCAGATATTGACAATGAGTGGAATATAAATAATAGAGAGACAAATAGGAGCTTTCAAAATGAACAAGAAAGGTCTCAAGGCTGGGATAGCAAACAACAAATAGTTATGGGTGTCAGTTTAAAAAACTTCAGCAGCCTGCCTTGAATTCAGACAAAGATTGACATTTGTTTATTCAAGACCCTGACACAATACTGAACACAGCAACGATAATACCTCCTGCACTCAGAAGCTTATATTCTCTACTGGAATCTGGGGAGGTAGGCTGTACAGCAGTGATTCACACAACTAACTCATTGCATGGAAAACCAAGTAAAGCAGTGTTCCAATCATCACACAATTTGTTTGAGGGTTTTTTCCTGATCTATTCCTAATCACCCTTTAATTTTTAAATGGCTATTTTCACACTTATACACCCTATATATCAGTTCTCAATTTCTGTTCACTGCAAATAAAAAATTAATAAGAATTGCCTACTAAGGGATTTGTTGCCTCAAGACGTTAACCTGCTAAATGCTTTTCACCTCTAAACACTACTAGATTCTGTTTTACGGGAAGTCATGGGTCAAGTACTCTCATAGAATCATAGAACCATATCGCTGGAAGAGACCTCAGAAGGACATCAAGTACAGCCCCCTGCTCTAGGCAGGACCAATCCCAACTAAATCAACTCGGCCAGGGCTTTGTCAAGCCAAGACGTAAACACCTCTAGGGATGGAGACTCCACTGCTTCCATAGGTAACCCATTCCAGTGCTTAACCACCCTCCTAGTGAAATAGTTTTT